CAAGTATGGACACAACATTCAAGTTTGATACAGCTCTGAATTTGGATTGTGATTAAATATTTGACACAGCATAGGTTTCTGACACAGAATGAATGTGGTCTAAGAACTTAATTTTTTTTAATTTAACTATTATGGTCCAATATCCAAAATCTAAATACATGGTTAGATTCAGCATATCAAAGAATCCAAAGAATTCAATTTTTGATGAAATCAAACAAAGTTTAATTTTGGACCCTTTTGACCTCAATATGGACCAATTTGATAATGGGCCCCAAAAATCAAAATACATGGTTAGATTCAGCATATCAAAGAACCCCATATATTCAATTTTTGTTGAAATCAAACAAAGTTTAATTTTGGACCCCAACTTGGACCAACTTGAAAATTGGGCCCATAATCAAAAATCTAAACACATGTTTAGATTCAGCATATCAAAGAACCCCAAGAATTCAATTTTTGTTAAAATTAAACTAAGTTTAATTTTGGACCCTTTGGTCCTTAATGTAGACCAATTTAAAAAACGGGACCCAAAATTAAAAATCTAAATATACGGTTAGATTTGGCATATCAAAGAACCCCAATAATTCAATTTTTGACGAAATAAAACAAAGTTTGATTTTGGACCCTTTTGACCTCAATATGAACCAATTTGATAGCGGGGCCCACAAATAAAAAATCTAAATACATGGTTAGATTCAGCATATCAAAGAACCCCATAATATATTCAATTTTTGTTAAAATTAAACTAAGTTTAATTTTGGACCCTTTGGACCTTAATGTAGACCAATTTGAAAACTGGACCCAAAATTAAAAATCTAAATACACGGTCAGATTTGGCATAACAAATAAATAAATGTGGTCAAAGATTTTACAAATCTAATGCGCCATACTGTGCAATTAAAGATTACTTCTTGAAATTTTTCAATATTTGAAATTTGAAAAAAAAATAATATTTGAAGAATAATTCTTTTTAATTTCTTAAAATCTGAAATAAAAAAAAAAATGACCCCCCCACAATTTCTTTTTATCCCCCCCCCCCCCCCCCTTTTTCCCCCAAAAAATTCTTTCCCTCAAGATATGGTCATAATCTCAATTCAAATTTCCAATGGAATTTGCAACGATAATTACCCATTTAAATTTACCATAGTGCTAACTTAATCTATTTTATAATAGAATTTAAAATATGGTGTCATATCGTTCATATGGATTTTTTTGTAAAAAAAAAAAGATGCAACATTTGTAGATATTTTTACTGGTCTTCCTTTATAAATATGCATTTCTTTAAACATAATTTAAAAGCAGTGTAAGGGAAGTAATCAAAACATTGTATGTGGATTACCTCCCTTACACTGTTTTAAATTGTCTTAATTGTTCATTAACCATTACTTTATACATAATTTAAAAGCAGTGTAAGGGAGGTAATTCAAATGATGTATTTGATTTATCTCCCTTACACTGCTTTAAATTATGTTTTGTACTAAAGTATTTGTCCATATAAAAATGCTTGTTTTTTGCCCCTTTTTTTGGCCCCTAATTCCTAAAATTTTGAGGCAATGACCCCCAAAATCAATCCCAGCATTCCCTTTGTGATATGTACAATGTCAGAGAGATCCATACACTTAACACACAAGTTATGTCTGGAAGTTACAAAAATGCTTATTTTTGGCCCCTTTTTGGCCCCTTATTCCTTAACTGTTGGTACCATAACCCCCAAAATCAATCCCAACCTTCCTTTTGTGGTATTGAACCTTATGGTAAAATTTCATAGAGATCCATTCACTTAAACTAAAGTTAGAGTGCGAAAACCAACGTGTCTTCAGACGACGACAACGACGCCAACGTCATACCAATATACGATCGCAAAATTTTTTTGCGGTCGTATAAAAATTAGAACCGTTAATGTTATATCAACATGTGAACAGCCTGATTTCTTTATCTGCTGGTTAGTAACTTTGAGCTTGCTTTCAATTATTGTGATTTCATTGTCTATTATACCAGTTTGATAGCTTAACTAGTTAAATTGTACATTCTTCTATGTGCTTTTTGTTAATCCACTATTCAAGACTAAAAAGAGGGAGGGTTAATAGCTTAAAACAAGAGGTTCACCTAGAGAAAAAAATGTTAGTCTGATAATGAAAACCTTTAATTGCATATAATAGTTAATTTTGTGATGCTGATAATTTTTGCTATCTAAACTTTTAACCTCGCTCCTATAGTTTTTGAAATAGCCAAAAACTTAATAAAAAAAAAACAGTCAAAAGAGGCTCAAAAGAGCCTAAATCACTCCCCTAGTAAAAATTATATGCAATTTCAATTCTAATTTTTACCTTTTCTGAGTTCAATTGTTTGCCTATTTGTAAATCTAATTTAGTGATATTTTTGTAGATCTTGAATTGATAAACATTTTAACTGTTTACAGTAAATATCTATCTTTAAAATTAGTAAAAAAAAAAAAATATTCATTTAAGAGCCATAACTCCTATGAGCAATCTGAAATTTTTCCATCTTGACTTCTTTGTAGATCTTATTATTTTAGTGATTTTTTGCTGTTTAAAATTTCTCTCTTGCTATAGTTTTCAGGATAATAACAAAAATTACAAAAAATATAACATTTCAGGAACAGTAACTCCAAAATAGATTGTCCTATATTTCGTACACCAAATTTCACCTGCTGATAACTTTGTGCCAAGGTCAAGTTTGCTCTTGCTGTTTATGTTTTTGAGATATTAGCCAAAAAACTTTAAATTTTCTTAAATTGACATTTCAAGGGAAACTCCAAGTGTCAATAACTCCAAAATAGGTTGACAGACTTTTCTAAAAATTTCAGGTTAGATAGATTGTTGTGCTGACAATTTTAACTCTTGTTAGTTTTTCCAGATATTAGCCAAAAACTGCTGCTTGACCCTTATGTTCTATTTTTTGACACAGTGGACATGTTGGTTAATCAACCAGGAAAAAAATCACAAACTTCATAGAAGACATCTTGTAGATGAAGCAGATTTTTAAAGAAAAAATTACAGACAATGGAAGATTGACTGACTGACAACAGACACAAAGTGGTGTTTAGGACAAAGAAGCTAAAATAAATGGGTAATGTGTCCTTGGGACACAGATGATGCCCCCTCTTGCATATAACATTATAAAGGGACATAACTCAAGAACGGTAAACGTAAAGCTACCCAAATTCGTACATAGTCTGAGTTTTGTGGTAAAAAGCATTGTGAATAGGTTTCATAACATTTGGTTGAGACAAACTTAAGATAGAGAACAGAAACGAAAAATTCAGCAATTTTTCCATTTGTAAAGGGGCATAACTCAAGAAGGTTAAAAGTGACGCCACCAAAATTCAAACTTGATCTGTGTTTTGTGGTAGTAAGCATTGTGTATAAGAGTCATAACATTTGGTAGAGGCAAACTAAAGTTAGAGAATGGAAACCAATTTCGGGACGTACTGACGTACAGACAAGGGTAAAACTTAATGCCCCCTCCGCTTGGGTGGGGGCATAATAAAAATATACTTTACCCTGCCACATGTCCCAAGTCAGTTACATCATTAGAAGTTTTTTTTTAATCTTACATTTTTTTTTGCCTTTAAGGAGTTCAGTGTTGATGGCAGATCTTTGAAATTTTTTTTATCAAATGTATGCATAACTATACTAAACATAGGGTTATTTAGAGCTTGACATATTGTGTAGTCACTTGTCTACTATTGAAGACTGTATTCTGATGAATTGGTGTCTCTTTGTGTTACTTGGTTGCTGTGACATGACCTTTAACCAATATGCTATACTAGACAAGCATACTTTGGTAATCGATTTCATCTATTCAAGACAAATTATTCTATAATTCTATCTCTGAACAAGCATTTGTTGAAAAATGCAGGATGTCTCCTGTTTTAATCAGGACAAAAATATTATCACATTGTTAGGCATGCTAACAACATCACCTAACAGATTGTTTCCTGGCATGTGAAAAACTAAACCAATTTGACAGGATAAAAAAGAAGAAAGTTTTAAAAAGTCATATGATTTAATGATTCTTACAAAACTTACACTAAACCTATGGTTAAAGATTTGTATACAGCAATGTATAATTTAAAAGATAGTAAATGCTTTAAATATTAAATACACAAGACAGATCCCCTCCACTGTATGTGTAAGGATTACTTCCCTTTCAAAAAGCTTGATACATTTAGATTTTATTGTACAATGTTATTAAAAAGTTTTTAATTTCTTTCATATAAATTACTATAATAGTAAATCTTATTTTTAGTATGACATATTCCTCTTAAAAATGTGTGTCTTCCAATGACACCTCTGGTCTCAAAATAATGTAAGTAGAAACAGTACACGTTTTGGTATAAGAAACCTCAAAATCATTCAGATAAAAAATTACTAGGAGGTGCTTAACTTCATGTCCTGTAGAAAATCTAGCAAGTTTATTGAATTTTGTCAAGCCATTTTCAAGGAGATATAGATTAACAATGTGTGACTTGGAAGACAACAGAAGTTACATGTTTTGTTGCTACAGCTTTCCTATCAGGCATCACAATAAATCTATCTATACAGTTTAACTAGCTTATGAAATCCAACAATATATTTTTGCTTCTAATTTTCCAAATAAGAAAATACTTTAGTTATAGTCAAATAAAAATAAGCTTTACACATCAAGAAAAAAGGAAAAAACATTAAAATTGATTAAACTATTTATGAACATGGCTGAAAGTTTGATCTTTTGACTAATTCATACAATTGTATTTCTGAAATTAAATTGCATAATAATAGTTTATATTTATTATTTTTCGTTTGAAATCATATTGCAAATTAAGTTGGACACACTGTAATATATATATATCAATGTTCATCCTTGCTCCAAATATTTAATAATTTATTTACTAGAAATACTTGTGGGGAAAGCAAATGTGGACTTTTCATTTTTTTTTAAAATATCCTGAAAAAATACTGAAGTATACAAAAAGCTTTCTTTATACCTACAGTATATATTATAATCTGCTTCAATTCACATTACATATCATATGACATAAACTAAAAGATTATCAACAGCCAACAAATGCTTGTTTTGTGGTCAGCATAAACTTATATCACAGCTGACCTAAGCATGTTAATTCTCTACCATTAAAATTTCAATAATACCACATTGTCAGATAAAATATACATTGAAAAAGTATATTACACATAATTCAAAAATAGTACCACATTGTCAGATAAAATATACAATGTAGTAGTGTATTACAAATTGTAGACTAATTCAACAATAGAACCACATTGTCAGATAAAATATACAATGTAGTGTATTACAAATTGTAGAATAATTCAACAATAGTACCACATTGTCAGATAAAATATACAATGTAGTGTATTACAAATTGTAGAATAATTCAATAGAGCATGGATAATTACCCTGTTCTAAACACTATATCTATGGTGGCATTTCTGAAAGAAGATTTAACAATTACACCAAAAACAAACAAACTTACTCATCAATAAAAAGAAAAAATAAATTTCAGATCTCTTTAAAACTTATCAAAAACATACCAGTACCAAATATATACTAGCACTGTTTCAATGGTTATAGTTCTCTTTTTGCAGTTTAATTTCTGTGAGATTTATTTTCCTTTGCAAAAGGTAATATGAAATAGTTTTTACAGTACATTTTAATATTCAATTTTTTTCAAGTTTTATACCAAAACTGCAATGATCTAGTGTTTGAAAAATATTCAATGTTGGCAAAATTATCAAGAAAAGGTAAGATCTACACAATACTCACAATAATTATAAACACAATAATGTTGCAGGTAACTTATGAAAATAAGCCAAGGGTAAAATATAGGTTATAGAAACTAAAACTTTCGGACCTTTGTTTTACTATTAAAGAGTATTGCAGTGGTGACACAACAAATTTATCACAAAAGGTATCATAACTGCTTACCTCTTTATTTTACTGAAGCAAATATCTGTTCAAATAGCTTTGTTACGCATCTTCAGGCAAACAAAACTTTTTCAACAGAAAATAATTTATGAATTTTAAGTAAATAGTTTTAATTCATTAACCTTAAAATACAACACTTTTATCACACTCTTTTAGAAACTAAGCTCAATACTCCCCTGTTCATAAAATTTTTAGTTCACACTTACAGAGATCTGCATGATTATCTGAGATTTTAAGTTTACAACACTATCTCTAGTTCACAACCTAGGATATTTAAGACAAAACCCTCGTCTGATGTACAAAATTTGAATCCTGGTATCTATGATGACTTTTATTGCCTATGTTTATTTGTCACTCTGTATGGCAGTTCATTATGATTTATAGATGTCACCATGTTATCATCAAAATAAAATAAAGTAACAATATAAGTAACATTGTGCTGAGTTAAATGAGATCATGTAATTTCAACTTAAATTTTGATAAAACTTTATTTGAAAATAAATGAAGAAAGTGTCCATGAGATACAGATGCCCTGCTTGTAGATATACAGCCAATTCAGCAATTTTTCCATTTATAAACGGACATACAGTAACTTGAGAACAGTGAAAGTGATGCCACCCAAATTCAAATTGATCTGTGTTAGGTGGTAATAAGCATTTTGTATAAGTTTCATAATATTTGGTTGAGGCAAACTAAAGTTGGAGGCAGTGGGGGCATAACAAGTCTTTATAAAATTAAGTCATATTCAGGAATGGAAGCTTGACAAGAGCAGTTATTCTTTTACTTCAATTGCAAAAGTAGTAAAATTTGACAGTATTTGATACTGCAATGACATTTGTCTGAATTTAAACAAGGATATAGTATTACAAATTTGACACCCAATTTTTGGGGTATAAGTTGTTGGTAGATTTCATTGCTTTAATGACATATCTTTCTTTTCTCTGAGAGGGGAGGGGTTTACTTTTTGATGTATATATTGCTTTACATATCTTAACACAAATAGTGTTATGTACATGGCATCTTATTTTGATTTTAGTTTCATATTAATATTTCCAGAAAGGGATTCATAATGTTGATATTTGTCTTATTTTGTTAGTTCTGAAGACGAAGTATCAGTTCTGTTTTTATCAATATTTTATTATGGTCTTTTTTATGCCAGATTTAAACTGGCCGACTAAAAACCTAAATCATAATTTTTATATGTATCTTGTAAATAATTTACTTAAGTTTTTATCAGATATTTAGTTACTAACGAATTAAAATTTCTTAGTGACAGAGCAAGCAAACTTAGAAATGTTCCGGGGTCTATCAAGGCAAACAGGTGTTATGAATTCAAATACAAATATTATTATATTATCATTTCAGTAGTGTTACAGGGTTACAGAAAACAGTGTTTTATCATCATTGTTCACTGAAAATACTGTTAGCAGAGTTCAGAATCTTATTCCCTAATCACCATACCTACTTAAACCCATTCACAACACTAAAAGTATAAAACAAACTAATAGCTAAGAGGAACCAACAAAAATCATTCAGATTAAACAGTAAAAATTCTTATGATATAATTTGACTTTGAGTTATTTCCCTTGGCCACCATTTTGGAAGGATAAACGGTTGAATTTTTTATATGATTAACCAAATTAAATTGAAACATGTGACACACACAAGTCTTATAAGAGATCCTTACTAAAACGTAGTGATAAATTAAGCAAGGTTAAAAGAAACAAAAACTGTTCAGAAAAACCCTTTTTCAAAATGGACACCTTGACCACGAAGCACTGTCTGTAAGCAGGGAGATACATCCCAGCTTCTTTAGTAAGCAGGGAGATACATCCAGGCTTCTTTAGTAAGCAGGAAGATACATCCAAGCTTCTTTAGTAAGCAGGGAGATACATCCAAGCTTCTTTAGTAAGCAGGGAGATACATCCAAGCTTCTTTAGTAAGCAGGAAGATACATCCAAGCTTCTTTAGTAAGCAGGGAGATACATCCAAGCTTCTTTAGTAAGCAGGGTGATACATCCCAGCCTCTTTATTAAGCAGGGAGATACATCCAAGCTTCTTTAGTAAGCAGGGAGATACATCCAAGCTTCTTTAGTAAGCAGGGAGATACATCCAAGCTTCTTTAGTAAGCAGGGAGATACATCCAAGCTTCTTTAGTAAGCAGGGAGATACATCCAGGCTTCTTTAGTAAGCAGGGAGATACATCCCAGCTTCTTTAGTAAGCAGGGAGATACATCAAGGCTTCTTTAGTAAGCAGGGAGATACATCCAAGCTTTTTTAGAAAGCAGGGAGGTACCTCCAAGTTTCTTTAGGTAGCATGGAAATGCATCCAAGCTTCTTTAGTAAGCTGGAGTGGATAACTGAGGACCTATTGTTTTAAAAAAATTTATTAGATCTAATCAAAAAGTTTTCTTTAAAAAAATAAACCTTGTTAACATCAGTGTTATCTATCATAGTTACTGTACTAATGCATTTTACTAAGTGTATGCATCACTGGTTTTAAGTTCCTGAACATTCAAATTTTCACATCCTTCAACACATCAAGTGTTTCTCTGAGAAAAAGAAAGTAAAAAAATCACCAATGTGGTACATTAAAAGGATATTATAAAATGTATGAGCACTAAGTCATAATTAAAGCAACATGCCAAAAGTAAATATTACAATTGTAAGAAACAGAAAAATGAAAGACTTGAAGGAATGCTATAATATATACAACAATAACATAAATTTAATTACTTATAAAAGCACTAGTGACACTTAATTTGATATATTTACAGCGGGAATATAAACTGACTATGATTGATTTCCAGAATCTGCAATTTAAAAGAAATGGTTGATTAAAACTAGCATTGCAAGCTGAATTATTTTATGGCTACAAAAATTTATTAACACAAATGATCGTCAGGCCATCATTATATATCAAATGAAATAAAATTAACATGTTGGACATATCTGCAATCGTTTTACTTGACTTATTTAAAGCATTTTTTAATTTTTATTTCCGATTTATGGAAGCAGACTTTCTCTTTTCATTTCATTATACTTTTACACTTTAAGCATAAACAGTACATTTGTTTACCAATTTTCTTGAGAGTGGTAATTCTATTCAAACTTTGATTGAACTTATTCCAATAAAGGCAGGTAATAAAACCAAATTTTTCCTGCAGTGTTCTAATAGATCATAAAAACATAAATGTTTGTTTTTACTTGAAATTGCTCCTATGCCAGGATGAGATTGATATTTCAGATTTTAGAACAGAGTCAAGGGGTAAAGTCACCAGATACTACATGTTTAACCTGAAAAACACTTTTCAATACGTTTAATGCATTTTTGTTAGCTCGTAATAACATTTCAATTGAACAGACCACTTACATGAGAATTGGTTTACATTTAAGAACATTTTTTTTTAATTCAGCCTAAATTTCTATTTTTAATTCAAGCGTTATTCAACTTTTTCTTTAACAAAACCCTTGAACACACAGTTTTAAAACAGAATCATCGTACTTGGGTCCCTTGTCCTTAGTGGAGCAAAATCAAAGGTATTAATACTAATGACAATACCTGTTAAAAAGTTACTATCTTAATAAAAATTTCTATATTTATACTTTTTACCACAATATAAATTTGAAAAGTTTAAGAGAAAATGATATCAAAATTAAATATATATGTGTATATCCCCACTTTTAAACCTCTATCAAATTAATTTGCAAGTTTAGTTTTGCCATTCAATCAGATTTTGATTATCCATGATATAAACATTTAACATTTTCATCATTCACGCATTGCACAAGTTTATTATACATAACTACCTACTAAGATCGTTCATAAATTAACTAATAAAAAATTATCCTTACAGGTAACTATAAATTAATTAACATTAAAATTAGCAATTATTTAACTTCTAACAAATCATGAGAAATAAAGTAAAATTACATGGGTTTGGATTTCTATATCAGATACAATTGTAGCTATTTGTAGCACTTGCTTGTAAAATTGTAACAACTATATAATAAATGGCATATTTTGACTCTTATACACCTAACAAGAGTTATCATTCTTTGTACATTGCTTTACTGAGATTTTCCCAAACTCTTGATTAAAGGTTTAAATACATTAAAGTATAATGTTATATGACATCTACATTGCTACTACACATGCACACTACTATATCACTGGAAATACATTAATTAAACCTGCTAAATATATCCTTGTATACGATAGTAGTAATGTTATATTCCCTGGAACAATTGACCCAAAGTAAGCATGCAATATTCTCTGGTATTGCACATTGCAATATCACTTCAAAATTGAGAAGTTATTACTAGGTACACATGATGTTCTTTACCTTTTGTAAGTTTTTTCATACATTCATAGGTGTATTGCACAAATACTGGTGACTATTTACCTTTGTACAATGTTTATAGCACTCTCAAACTTGTGCAATACAGTATTCTACTCTGGACAATCGTTTTGTAGTAACCCTATATCCTATTTCTATATCACAGTATTTCTGGTATCATGCCATAGTATAGCTAATTAGTGCTCTTGCAGCATAATAATTACTAATCAAAATTTTAACAGTTAATGATATATGTATGTCTAAGCTAATTTGTTAAGAAATAAATTTGTAATCCTTTTTGAAAAAGTATTTTTTATGTTATCTGAAACAACATTTAGATCTTTACAAAAGAGAGTATTGAATATATCAAATACAAAGATTAAAGTTTTTTTCTATATATGAATGCAATACATATAAAACTTGAATAATATGAAGCTGTTTATTATACAGGTTTAAAGCAAGCATTCCAGAAATATATTTTTTTATGCAAAGGAAAAAAAAAATGAAAATCCCCCAAAATTGACATGAAAAAAAATTCCCGTGTCAGAACAGAATTTGGAAGCATGCCAGTGGAAATATAATGTTAATTACAAGGTAGTGCAACATCAGCGTTTTTTCTTCCAATATAATTAATGTGAGATCAAGAATTAGGTGTAGGTCACTGCTATAACTGATAGCCAATTAAAAATATCTTGGCAATGTAAGTAACGTGCAGAAGCTAAATTCCTGATGTAAAAAAACTGACCACAATTGTGTTGATAACAGAAGTTTCATGACTAAATATCAAAATGATTTAAACATAGCAACCACAGTGACATAAAGCAATCAGCAATCAATCAATCAGAATAAAAAAATCTGTATTTTAATGATGGTTTTTTAAAAATAAATATTACGTATAAAGTGTCCATGTATAAATATTATGAATTTTCCTGAATCTATGTACAAGCTTTTAAAGCAAAAAAAGCAATAAGCAGCTTGTATTAAATATGACATGACACAAGAAACCTATCACACCAAAATGCACATTTCTAAACATATAATCAAGTGAGAAAATGCAATCTACATAATAAAAGTAGATTTAATTGAACAAATTTTGATTGCACTCAAAAAAATTCCTTAAAAATCTGTACATTTATGATAAATTATACTGTATAATAAAAACAACCAATTTATTAAGTTCCTAAATGTTAGTTTGTTCTATAAATGAGTGTTCTCTGTATTTTTATTGGTTGGCGGGGGTGGTGGTGGTGGTGTCGGTCGTGGTCTTGCACTACCTGGTTGGCTTAAGCGGTTAGTTTGGCTATGCTTGTGCCCAGCACCTTCTACAAAGTCTGGTGAAATATTTGATAAACTACCTTGGCCGTTTTGTTCTGTTGTGACTGATAAAGCAGCATTGTTGGCACTTCCTGTTGATGCTGATCTTTGATGACTTGGTGCTGCTGGTGGCGGTTTACTAGGTCGGTCAGGTGGTGGCGCTACTGGCCTATCACCATATGATATCGTGGAAGCTCTATTTGGAGGATGTCCTGGCTTTTCAGCTACAGGAGGTTTATCTGGTGAAGATCTAGTTTTTGTTGCACTTGGTTTTTCATCATTTGATTCTGATACAGCCTGACGTGGCCATGTTTGAAACTGCCCCGGATTATTGGCTTTGGAGTAACTAGCTGTCACAGCGATTGAATATGGTCTTTCAGGTGGAGGGGGAGGCGCTGGTTTTAACTTGTGTTTACGATGTGATCTAGGTGAAGTTGGTTCACTGAAATAAAATACAGACCACATTATTTGTTATGTTAATGGTAAAATGCAGCCAGATCTAAACCATACAGAATATTATATATAAATCTAACATTGCGGAAAAAATACAGAACCCATTGGTTACTGATTAAACAAGTAAAAAGGTGGCATTTTCAACTGATACTCCTCAAATTGCCCATTTATTGAGAGAAAACAATTTCATTTCAAGGATTCAAAATACTAGTATGCTTGGAGGGACAAATAAACATGTACTATTATTGCTTATTTACACCTGTAAAAATGTGTTACAATTTATAGCAGGATACCATTCCAAAACCAATTAAAAAACAATTCAGTTTTTAGTAACAGTGACATTGACCTTTGACCTGTTGATCCAAAATTAGTAGGCTTCTTCCCTTCCCTATATTTTCCATCTGTATAAGTGTCATTCAAATCGAGCAAGGGAAAATCAAACTTCCATCTGGAAACAATTTCTCAATGTTTTTTTTTTTTTTTTTAAAGTAAAAGTAATCTTGAACTTTGACCTATTGACCCAAAATCAATAGGCCTCTTCCCCTACTCTATATCAACCATCTGTGTAAGTTTAATTCCAATCAAGCAAAGGATGCTCAAGTTATCATCTGGAAACCATTTGATATAGATAAACAGACAGAAGAACGACAGACAAAGCCATAACTATATGCTGTTTTGGGGAGCATAATAATCTTGAATAACAAACTGATAAGCAGAAATGGCTATGTCTGTGTTTTGGTATGGGAAACACAGAAAATCGCAAAGATCAAAAATCAAAATAGCAGGTGCACAACTTCATGTCCTGTCAAAAATCTGTATGTAAGTTTGATTGAATTTGAAAAGCCTTTTTCAAAGAGTTGCAGATTAATAACGTATGAAAGAGGATGATTAGGCCAGACAACAGAAGTGATCTCTATGTGTTGCCCCTGGCCACATAAAAATGTGAGAATCTTCAAAGGAAGAGGTCTCCAAATAATATCAACCTGAATAGATATGTCCATGTTTTGGTACAGGAAAAACCCCAATCATCGTCCTTCCCTTCGCCTATATCACACTGCTCAGTTGCTCTGTAATTCCTGTATCACGGCTTTGAGATGTGAGATGACATTATCAGCGATGTCACAATGTCTGAGGAGAAGTTATTTATGACATCACAATGTGTGAGGAGACTTTATCAAGCTTGTTTTCGTCGAGCATAAAACTCTCTAAGGGAGGGGAAAAAGACCAGTAATAGAACGATAAATTATCAAGTAAAATATCAGCACCTGGACACAATGTTATAAGCCTACATGATTAAGTCCATGTTTTGGTATGGGAAACCCCAAATATCACTGGGATCTGGGACTAATAAAGTACAGTTTTAAAAGAGTTGCAGATTAACAAAGTGTGAAGCAGGTAACAACAGAAGTGATTCCTATGTGTTGATGCCTCTTGACACTTTCAGGTGATACAAACATGTCAGGTGTTTAAACAAATTTGCTCAGGCTGAACTTAGATAAGTAAAATCACCTGAATTAAATTTCTACTTGACCAATATTGCTTTAAATACTTTTAAAACAGTTCATGATAAAATTTTACTTTATCTGACTAGTTGCAAGAAAACTTATTAACACAGGAATGATTTATCATGTAATTATTGTAAACATTTAGTCTTTTAGAAAAACAACTTGCATTATGTTCCAAAATTGAAACTACAGGAATAGAAATTGGGACATTTATAATGCTTTCCTTGTGAGCAAGCTTTAAATTTGTTATGCTTCCTTGTGAGCAAGCTTTATATTTGTTATGCTTTCCTTGTGAGCAAGCTTTACATTTGTTATGCTTTCCTTGTAAGCAAGCTTTACATTTGTTATGCTTCCTTGTGAGCAAGCTTTACATTTGTTATACGTTCCTTGTGAGCAAGCTTTACATTTGTTATGCTTTCCTTGTGAGCAAGCTTTACATTTGTTATGCTTTCCTTGTGAGCAAGCTTTACATTTGTGAAGATATAATATTACAACTTCTTGTTTCAAGCTGAATCATTTCATATTTTTTTGCCATGGACAATATCAGCTGTATTGATAAAGTAATTACATCGACCTGATAAAGAAGTTGTAGAACAGTGTATATAAATGCATTAATGATATAAGTTGTATGTCTAAGTGGCTTACACTTCTGCTAAAGGTGCATGGAGATTGGAAGCAGATTCAGATTTTTGTATTGGTTGGCTATTAGGTCTGTTTTTTGTTGTATCTTCCTCCTGTGGAGGTGGTGCACCACCAAGTGCTTCTTCTTGATCTAGCAAATCAAAATTATCTGACAGCCTTGAAGTATTTGAAGAACAAAATGATGACATGGTTCCAAATTCAACATCTGTAAGATAAAGCATAAATCATATTAAGATCTAAATATACTTAGATATATATCTTGGGGAAATGGCATAATATTGTTTTATGTTGTACTTCTCGGAAAATTTAAATGTTAAAATAATTTCAACACATGGACTAGCAATCCAGTTATAGAATTATGTAGATTTATGCAGCACGTAAAAAAAACAAAAAAAAACGGTTGAAATAAAAAAGGTTTCTTTTTTTTTTGAAAACAGGGACTTAAGCAGATAAATGTGTGAGGGTCAATTTTTTTTTATGACTGTTTATAATAAGTGTCCAAACAATGTAACAGTTATATACCGAAAGGGATTTTTAACTTGCATGTATATAATAACTAACTGTGCTAAAATATGATTTCATTGATGCTCATATAAGAAATACTAGTTTTTTTCTTTCATAACCATCGGTTTTCAATTCTCAAATTATTCAGTATGATTATTTAACTATCTAACTAATTTAACAAAGTGTGCATAATACAGTGTAGATAAAAACAATTGTTAGAGCACCTGCCCTAAAGGGTCTATAAGTCACTTTGATCATTAAAGTCAATAGTAGGACAAACAAAATTCATCGACTTTGAACATTTTCATACAAAAAGTGTTTTCTCTCAGTGAACACTTGCAATAGATATTTAGCAGTTTTTCTCGGATGCTGACATATTAAATATTTAAACAGTTCATCTTCTGATATAATACATAAATTGTCAACTTTTCAGAAAAAAATGTCCTGGACGTCCTGGACAATTATTGAGGCATATACAAAATGCCATGCAATTAATATAATAAATTAACCATGTGCTATTTTGCATTTAATAAATAAGAAAAACATTACATTGTTAAAACATAATTATGCATAAAAGCAGAATAATATATGTATTACAAATCTATTGAAACAAAAAGAAAATCATGTTTATAATTGGTAATTCATCATTTCTGAACTACTGTAAAGTTATTTATTTTCAATGAGTTTTCTCATGCCATATCAGTTTCTTAGGTTTAATTTTTTGCAATTTTATCTTAATCTTGAAATTATCAAAATTAAATCCCTCATGAAAATGTCACACTTTACAGTACACAAAATGTGGAAAAACCAAACAAAACCTTCCAAAAAAGCTAAAAAGCTAATTAATGCACTAAAAGAATACAACTATAAATTTAGTTCACACCTGAATGTAGTGCTACCTTGCATGATATGATAACTGCTTGGAAAAATTGTCTGTACTTAACCTGTTCGTCTTTTTGTTTGTTTATTGGAGTTTTGTTTTGTTGTCTTGTTTGTTGTAAATTTTTATTGTTGGCTTGTTTGCATCAATATTAACTGATCATTCTTATTGATTACCACGATTAAGTATTTCAATAAGAAATGTAGAAATCAAATTATAAGTCTTGATGAATAGTTAAGTTGATATTTTTCATAAAAGAAATGAAAGCCCCATTTTAATAGTAAAATATATCTGGTGTACCATCATGTAATTTGAAAAATTGACCAAACTAAAGTTGATCTTGGTCAATGTACTCTGCTTGTTACTAAACATTTAATCATCATTAGACTGTTAATTCGTGGGATACCAATCTCCCTGGATTTTGTGGGTATTGGTTAATGACAAATTTGAATGTTAAACAAAGTACAGATTTTTCTATATGTTAGTGCAATATGAATATTAATTCTGCTTTGTACTAGACTGACACTTTTACTCCTTAATGCTGCATGTTTAGTGGAGAAGGAGCAAATACCAATTTTAAAGTTTTTGGTTTGACCTGGCCAGGTTTCGAACCAATGACCTCCTGCATTTGAAGTGAACAGGCTACCATGAGGCGGTTAGTATTGCAAATGAGAAATATAAATACTTTTCAGAGAAATTAACTTGAATTCAAAACTTTGCAAGACGGATAAAACTTCAGTATACAGATCAATTTTTTTTTAAAAGATCTTGAAATTGGTCAGATTTCACAAAATGAATGGCAAAGAGTCTGAATTTTAAATGACAAAAATTGAAGAAAACTAATGATATGAAAACAGCATGTTTATTAAAGTATGTAAATGTCTGCAAATTATAAAATATGCATGATGTTGTCTATTTTGATAGATGCTGGCAGGAGAATGTTAAAAACACAATACTATTTGTTTGTTTAGAATTATATATCATATATACAAACCTAAAACAACATTTGTTAAGCTTAAAGCATAATTCATGTTTTTATACAAAAATATATATAAGTGCCATTGAAAATATAACTCAACTATAAGTCAACTTGCTCACTGTTTACAAACAAGAGTCCCTAAATCTTGAAAAATTAACTTGAACCATAGTAAATCAGAAATAATATTGTAAATTCAGAAATTATTGCAAGGTTTTTATTAATGCGAATAATGTGATTGAGTATCGCAATAATAACTTAAAACCAACTAGCATTCTGATACCTGATGCATATAACTGTATGCAGATTTTCCTGAAATCGCAAAAAATAATCTCGTATTTTTGTCCGTTCTTCAAAATTCACAATAATAAATGCACACAATAATTTCTAAATTTACAGTATACATTTATGAAAAGTGTTGTCTCAGTCCGATTAAAGTACATGTATAACCTTTCTAAAAGAAATTTAACAATTTTCAAAGTTTATAATTGAGTTATATTAAATGAAAAGAATACACACAGTTTATATACATGTACAATTTGTTGATTTTAAAGTTTATACACAAAAGTGTGCTTACTAAAATCTCTGTTTCAAGAGAAGTAAAATAGGATTTTATTCAGTACAAATGATAAGAAAGGGAACTAGATATCATTGAGATGGGAGCCATCTCTGTGGGCCCCGATGTGAATAATGTGTGGTAAAAAATTTGTATCTTTATCATTGGACATGGGGTTGTTAAATGAAATTAAAAGTTTTTGACCTTGACCTTTGACCTAGGAAGTTGTACATAAATTATGACACACCCTCTGGTGTTGGTTTATATACATATCAAGTATAAACTTTGAAATCATAATGGTTCTCAAGATATAGAGGGGGCAAATCTTTACCATAGGACATGGGGTTGTCAACTAAAACCAAAGTTTTTGACCTTGACCTAGGAAGTTGTACATACATTATGACACACCCTCTGGTGTTGGTTAATATACATGTCAAGTATAAACTTTGAAATCATAATGGTTCTCTAGATATAGAGCGGACACAATTTGTTATGGATGGAGGGACGGACAGACAGACGGATGGACAGAAGGACAGACAGACTGATCACTTTAGGGCGTCCACCATTCGACGGGGCCCTATTTAGTTATATGTATGCCAGACAAAAATCTAATAAAATAAAGGTACAATGTTTTTATTGATATTCTTTATCTAGAAAGTTAAAAGGTCAAAATGGTCCTTAGTGTCAACATAAGTGGCGATCTTTGACATTTATGGATAACAGCTGCATATTTCATTGATAGAACCACTTAGGAGTAAGCTTTATTGCTTTCTGCAATGCTCTATTTTTTGTGCATAAAATTTTAAATCAACTCTTGTATTACATTATGTTACAGATCAAAACAGTTAAAAGCACACTGAGATCAATATGGAGGAAAATGATATGATTTATGCTAAAAAATACACAGCAATGAAAATAAAATAAATGACATCATCATGCTATCGTATGAGCGTCTTCTTGGCTAACATCAAACAAATCTGAAAATTGGAGCAAGCATAAGGGTATCAGGCAAAAAAATCCCAAATCATTAAAGAATATATACATATATTTTCTTTTGCAAACTTCAGATTTCCACAATTTGAACCTTTTTCTTCATTCAACTACTTATAATGATTTACAGTCAATTAATCATTTATCACCTAAGCATGCATGATGTGAACACAATTTTCAATGAACATGAAACATGAGTATAATGAGATCAAGAGAATAGAGTTAATAAGTTGACTATCATGATAAATAATTTGTTGACAAACAAGATATGTCTTGCCTTTATGTAATTTTGATATCAAAATGGCAATTTTTTAACATGTAAACTATGCAAAACATTCATAGTCAATGAACTATAACTGAAGATGCAAGGCCGAATAGCCTCTGTGGAAATGAGAAATGTAAATGCTAATACAACTGCATACCAAATACCATTGACTTATCATAAGTGGTTTCCTTAGAATTGACCTAAACACAAATTTAACATGTAAACTATGCAACAGTTTCAAAGTCAATGAACCATGATGAGGGGATGGAGCCATATAATCTCCATGGAAATGTGACGTTTCAATACAACTGCATACCAAATATATCATTCACCAACCAGTAATGGTTCCTCTTAAACTGACCTAATCACAAACTTTAAACATGCAAGCTAAGCAAAAGTTGCAAAGTTAACAAGCCATGACTGAAAGGGCAAGGTCAAATAGCCTCCATGGAAATGAGAAATGCCAATGCTTATACAACTGTATACCAAATATCATTGACCTACCACTAGTAGCTCATGTGATTCTCCTTAAACTAAACTTGAAACTTTAACAAGACAAAGTTTCAAAGTCAATAGACCATGACTAAAAGGGGGGGGGGGGTGTCAAATAATTTCTCTCCATGGAAATGAGATGTTCCAATGAATGATTATACAACTGCATACCAAATAGCATTGAACTACCACTGGTTGTTCCCCTTTAACTGACCTAATCACAAAATAGCACTGCCAATGCAGACGCCAGAAACAGTAAGACAAAGTTTTTTTACTTCTTCAAGGCTAGATAAAAATACACTTTTCAAACAACTCCTAGGCAAATTAAGCCATGATATAAAATGAAAAAGTTATTTAAGATTAAAGTTACTATTTTTAAAAGTAAGCTGTCTCTTATTCAATGTGACTGTTCTGTTTATGATTCTATGCTGCAAACAAGACAAAATATTATCCTGAGTATGTACCATAAACCAAATCTATTTTGAAAACATAAATGATCTTCAGTATTAAATTGACCTCAAACAAACACACCCCATCTTAAAATACCAGTCTTAAATAAAATCATACTCATATTCATGAAGTCTTGAAATGATAATGATATATGTGTAGAAAAAGGTTCAAACTATCTAACAGAAAAGTCCAGAATAAAACACATGCTAAATAAATGATTTTTTAAGACATTTTCATTTCATCTGACCTGGCTGTAAGGAACATCTTTTATTTGCCGTTGATACCCTGTCACTTCTCCCAACTTTATGAATTTGCCCGCTTGAAGCTGATGGCCCTTTCTGTTGCTGATGTTTGACATCCCATATTCCTCGTACTTTAGTCAGATAGTTTGAAACATTTCCGTCACCCAGCGAGTGTAAAGCAAACATAGTACTGTAGACATCAGAATGAACACTTTTTGCAACAGGCGGAACAGAACTTGAGCGAGTATACTTAGAAGAATTATCAGTGCTACATGGAGCGTTAGTGTTAGATGATATAGAGTTACTATGGTGACTAATAACACTGCAACGTGGTGAGTTATAGGATTTAAGAAGATCACCTGGGCTCTTGTCCGAGCTATGTGTTGCCTTTTCTGCAGGCTTTGCAAAACTGTACACTGATGACTGATATGATGGTGATACCTTATCAACAAATACATCAGTTTCTTCTACATTTGACATGCTATCATGTGACGTGATAGGTAAAGTTACAGCAGGGGTAATTATTTCACATGCTCTTGCTATAGAAGACAGAGTATTTGATGCTTGCATTGGTGCAACAACTGCTGTTGAAACTGTTGTCACATTGTCACTCGAGCTGCTAGATATTCGAGGGGGTGCAGTGCCTTTGTTAACTTGATGAAAGTCTATATCTGTGTAAAAGTTTACAAAAACATACCAAAGTTTATACATGTACAGAACACATATTATATACATATTGTTAAAGCTACTATATGAAATCATTCGATAATGGTACTCAAAGTTATATTTATACTGGTGTCCTTCAGTTATAATCTGTTTATATGAAGCAATATGCATAAAAACCCAGTGGCATATTCAATGTATTAAACTAGATGTACTGTTACTAGAGTAAAAATCTATCTGTAGACCCTTGTCCAATTTAAAACCAAGCAGATAATAGAATGAAAAAGTAGTAAAAGTAATTATAAAAGTTTTCAAAAATAGTTTTATGACTCCGGTACAGCAATTAAAAAACAAATTGATAGGGAGCTCTTCTTCATGGAACCATTCATTGTGTAGAATTTGGCAAATATCCAATAAAGTTCATCTGATTTAGCATTGGATGTTCTCCAAACTGTCAAATTTCATCACTTAAAATCTTATAACTATAAAATAAATGAAATAATGAACTATTCACAATGGAAAGAGAGCTTGGGAGCTTGCCTAAATTATTTGAAAACTTTGATAAATCCTAGAAGCAAACTTGAGTTGCTGGAGGATGTTTGGACAGAAAAATAACAGTATATTATGACACATTTGTTTTTGATGGTGTTTTGAAAATGGAAAATAATGTTTGCTAAATTTTAAATCAGATTTAATCTGTTGATATTCCTTTTGGTTTAATTTTCATTAAATTCTCTAGAGATCCTGGGTAACAATAATTCAAAACAAATAAAGATAGTGTTCTGCTATTGTTGTTGATGCCAGAATGTAGGAAGCTTATTTCTTGCCTTCTCAATTTCCATTGCAGGTGACACAAAACTGGTGTCAAAAATAAAATAAATATTCTTTGTCTCTAACATGTGAAGTGCTAAGAGATATTCAATAGGAAGGGTAATAAATTATGAGATTGCAGTACATCTAATTTTAGAAGAGTTTCATTCAGTGCATATAAATATATACTGGTTTCCAAAATCATTTGATAAATAAGTAAAAATTCAGCCATAAATATGTAACATTACTGAAATTCATGAGAAAACATGAGGAACTTTAGAAGTAGGAGTAGCAGGACAGAGGTAGAAATTAAAGAATTTTGCCTCTGAAAATAAAAGAAATAATAAAATGTTTAACACTGTCATTTAAAAAAAAATTGACTTGATATTATAACAATGCATCCTTAATGACTATTTCCAATATATTGCCCTGTATAAATGAACTATTATTGTTATCAGAAGTAAGTATTAACATTTCTTCTTCAACTGAAAGCATGAAATGCCTGTTAATGTACATATTTCACTAAACACATATAAAATGGAGGTATGATGAATAACAAAATCTTCCTTATCTATAAAGGATTATCATATGTATGCATTTCATTCTTATGGTCAAAACTAGCTTTTTTAAGCAATAATATTATGAAAAGCTTCAAATTTACTAACCTTCAGGGAAAAACCAGTCTGCGTTTGAAACAATCATTTCTAAAAGATTACTAACAGATCCACTACTAGCCATACTGGCTCTGAAAAAGATAGATCAAATGATTATTTTGGGACATTGCTGGAATTAAGACAATGTAATCAGTGGATTTCTCCATTATTGATAGTTAAATTTAAAAAAGCATGAAAGAATGGTAAAAAAATTTCTTACAATTAAGATGAATTGTCACTTTGTGTCATCACAAAGATGATTTCAGAGAAAAATGAATTTGAAATCTTATCTGAATCTTATTCAACCAAGTAAACCACAAATTGTTTGTTCAGACTTCTTTTTTGTATTAGCTGGCTAGTTTATGGTTCAGGTTCTTGGATATTGGATTATACATCTGGTTGGAATTGGTATAGCATGCTACTACTGTGCATTCATTGATTTTCATGGATGGAGGGAAAATTCATGGATACTTGATTTCATGGTTTTAAACAAATTTTGCACAAAAGCCTATAGGAAATCTATATTTAGTTGACCATCTTTTAAATGTGTTGTCCACATATAACCATGAAATCCACAAAAACAAATATCTCTACATAAATAGGAATCCAAAGTTTATAAAATAAAAAGAAGAATGTGTCTGAGGACATGAATGCCCCCGCTCAAGCTTGCTTTTCAAATGATAATGGGACAACAGAAAGACGGAAGGACAGACAGTCAAGGGTAACACCTAATGCCCCTTTGCCTTGCGGCAGGGGCATAAAAATATATTATTTAATAGTATCAAAAATGACCAGTTAGCTCAAAGTCTTACATTCATCTATTAGAGAGTGTAAATACAATAACTTATCTAAGTTTGCTTTTGGCTAGGTCAGTCATAGCAGATTACGACCAATTACTATACCTTCAAGCCATAACAGATTAGGACCAATTACTATACCTATCCTGGATCACCTTCTAAACAGATTAGGATCAATAACTATAGCAATATCACCTTATCTACCCTGAATCGTCTTCCAGCCATAACAGATTAGGACCAATTACTATAGCTATATAACTATACCTACCCTGCATCACCTTCCAGCCATAACAGATTAGGACCAATTACTATAGCTATATAACTAAACCTACCCTGCATCACCTTCCAGTCGTAACAGATTAGAATCAATTACTATAGCTATATAACTAAACCTACCCTGCATTACCTTCCAGCCATAACAGATTAGGACCAATTACTATAGCTATGTAACTATACCTACCCTGCATCACCTTCCAGTCATAATAGATTAAGACCAATTACTATAGCTATATAACTAAACCTACCCGGCATACCCTTCCAGCCATAACAGATTAGGACCAATTACTATAGCTATATAACTATACCTACCCTGCATCACCTTCCAGCCATAATAGATTAGGACCAATTACTATAGCTATATTACTAGGTGTCATCTTGTTTATGTCTGACTTTTCAGTTAACTTTGATAGAAATTTTACTAAGTATCTGAAAGAAAAAAATGAATAAACTTTAGATTATACATTAAATTCAGGTGTAATCAATATACGGATGTACTGTTTATAATAATGGTTAGATGCTGGAATATTGTACAGGGGACTATGTGCCTTTGTTTAAAAAAATTGAGCTGCCTAGCCAATTTTTCAATCCTATCTCTTTTGTATTATTAAGGGCACAACATATAAAATTGACCACCGGGAGTTCAAATGCCATGAACACATGAAACGGATTAAGTCGTACATTAATGATAATGATGGATCGCTGTTTAACCTAAAACTGCATATTAGATGCATATTCAAGACAAGAACATGTTAATGAAATATAAATATTAACCCTGCTTTGTACTAGACCAACACACTGGGCTGAATTTTTACAGCCTGCTGTAAGACATGTCATCCTACTCGGACACATTATTCTGAATCCAAACCATCTAGTTTTTGCTCTTACTCCTTAATGCAGTGTGCTTAGCAGAGAAGCAGCAAATACCAATTTTAAAGTCTTTGGTTTGACCCGTCTGATTGTATTTTGATATGCGTTCGGTTACTAGTAGCTAAAAGTGCATCTTTCCGTTTTTTGCACCGCAGTGACATTAAGTAGGTGCAACAATTTCATTAGTTACATTACTACAATTACATGCTGTCCAGAAAGTTTACTTTTGTTTAAAACTAAAAAAGTATTTTCTTTTATCAGATGACTACTTAACAGTGATTAAGGAAGTTTCATACAACTTGTAATTTTCGGATTTATGTGAGCTAACCAATACATGAAAAAAGAAAACATCAACTGGATTGTATCTATTGTGGTCTTTTTCTCATGGCAACAAGGTCAAATTTGAGACTGAATTAATGCTTATAACTTACCTAAAATTAATATAATTGGGTTCTGGTAAATCATGTACTACTTTCCAAAGAGCCTGAAGTCGCTGGTTTTGTGGCCTATAATCAAAATTACACAAATCTAATTATTTTTACATATCTGGTACACAGTTTTACATCCTCTACACTTTCAACAATCCAGGTTAATGCAGTTAATGGTTAAATGGTTTGATAATATTAATTTCTATGTTGTAATACATTTTTTATTAGTTATATAGTGGTAACTTTGGTCCTGTCATGATTTCAGTATATTTTGTTTTGTTTTGGAGCAGACAAAAGATGCATAATAATCTCAAACAGTCCATCTTTTTTATTACGTGTCAGTCTTTGCAAGAATCAGGCAATTTAGAAGAATTTGAAAACATGGCTGAAAAAAAAACGCCAACTTAACCATCCTATTTTAATGTTACTCTCATCCTGAGTTAGAAATGGTAGGTCTTCAGTTTCTGCATGTCTGGTAATTCAAGAAATCTCTAGATAATTTTTGGTTAGAATGATAGCAAATTACCGAGTTAGCTCCCTTTAATTGTTAATTTCTCGTGCATTTCAACCAAATTATATCTTGACATTCCAGAACAGGAAAAGGAAACGAATGTTATATACGTGCACCATTATACATTTTGAAAACTTAAAGTAATGTAAACTTGAGCAGATTTTTGTTTGTCATGTTTTCACCACTGTCTGATTCTTAGGCAGATTGGCACTTAAATAGTACAAAGAACAAAAAACATCATAACTACTTACAATGATAAAACATTAATAAAATCTTGGTATAAATAGTAAGTCAATAATGGTTCTGGTAGTTCTCTAAGATACTGCTTTAATGCACCTGGAAAAAACAATACAATAATAAATACTAAGAAATAAGACAATTCAAACACATCTATACTTGATTTTTACAAATTTATCTACAAAATCTGAGTTTCCAAAAGTCAAATTATAAATTTTGTAATCACGCCTTGGCATTTTTATGTGAACAAATGATCAATTATGGTAAAGATTTCTAAAATTCTATGTAAATTTTGCTTGGTAGGTAAGATTGTTATAATATTTCTTTCAAGGTCACAGACAGCCAACTTGCATGATTGCCACACACTTATGTTCTTGTCAATTTGCCAATATTATATTCACACAAGGATAGTATTGAATCTATGAAACAGATACTAATGAGAAAATACAAATAAATGGGGAATGTGTCCATGGGACACAGATGATGCCCCGCTTGCATACAACGTTCTAAAGGGATATAATTCAAGAACGATAAAAGTGACGCTACCCAAATTCGTACTTGATCTGAGTTTTATGATAATAAGCATTGTGTATAGGTTTCATAACATTTGGTTGATGCAAACTTAAGTTAGAGAATGGAAGCTGAATTTTTCTATTTGTAAAGGGCATAACTCTAAAACAGTCTAAGTGACGCCACCAAAATTCAAACTTGAATCTGTGTTTTGTGGTAATAAGCATTGTGTATAAGTTTCATAACATTTGGTTGAGGCAAACTAAAGTTAGAGAACAGAAACCAATTTCAGGACATATGGACAGACGTACAGATGGACGTCAGTGTTCCAGCTAGGTCGTTTTCACAGGGCGGTCCGCCCAACCTTTGACGAGTGCCACCCTGTGCCCTTTTTCTGACGCCCTGTGCCCTTTTTAAGACGCCCTGTGCCCTTTTTAAGACGCCCTGCCCTTTTTCGTAAGTCCATGCCTTTATGACCCTCAGCTAATTAACATTTACAGAAGGTGTAATAATTTGTGATTACAGATAATCCGCTTATCGACATCGGATGGGTCATTAATCCGTTAATTAAACTTCATAATTGACCATTGTAATAATTTTTCTCATTAAATTCGGTCAGTCAGCATTTCAATTTCAATATTTCTCAAAAGATGACAATTTGCGTTTGATGTATCCGTAGATCGTCTGTTGTTATGTCAAAGATTTTTTTTTTAAATTGATCTTTTAAACTAGTTTTAATCCAGAAGAAAGTAAAAACAATGCTTGACTGTACCTTTCATTGAATATCTATATCCAAATTAAATTAATTAAAGCTGTAATCCATGATCACAAATTGACTGCTTTGTTTACATTTGTTGAAAGCCATGTGCTTTTTTGGCGGGAAATTCGGAAAACCCCTTTAACAAGAAACAGTTACATTTCATTGTTATTTATAGACAGTAAGATTTTCATTTTGATTAACTGCTAAGATTATTTCATTAAAAATGAATACTTTCTTTGGGTGAAACTGATAATACTTTAATACTCTACATCTAGGGGTGTGTAAAATGGAAAAATTGGGGGGGGGGTTATATATTTTTTATATATAATATTACAAATATAAGTTTAACAGTCTGAAAAGACATGGTTAAATGGATTTTAATTCTGAAAAACTCAATGTGGTTTATTATAATTCTTTATTTCTATCATAATCAAAAACACTGGGCTACATGTATTAGGCATTTCAAACATATATTATTGCCTTTATAAGAACATTCAAGACTATTAATAAGTATGTACCTGTAGTAAAAAAATCCTGGTAGGGCCTTAAAATTTCTACTGGGCCCTTGGAAAAAAGTTTTGGGATCCAGGTTGGCCCCTGGAGAAAATGTAAGGTATTGTTCCTGACTGTATTGCAGATCTAGTGTAGTATTTTAACTGACATGCACAATTCATTTCACTAATGAAATAAAAATAATTCTACAAAACGCAGCTGCGCTCTGCATTGCAACTTAACCTTAGACCTACCATGCATCAAAAATGTTCTAGGGAAGACTGAGCTAGTAATATACGTCCTTGCATGGTCCCTTTAATACTCTGTTACCCAAAATAAAGTTGATTTTCATCTAGCGTAAAAGTGACTAAACCCCTCAAAACTCCTAGTTGAAACCCCTGCAGTTAACATAAGACAATGTTTGACATGCCCTTTTTGAAATATCAATCATCGTGCTAAAGTGCCCTTTTCATGACTGGCTCCCTGCCCTTTTCATGACTGGCTCCCTGCCCTTTTGAAATCCTAGCTGGAACACTGGACGTACAGACGTACAAGGGTAAAACTTAATGCCCCCTCTGCTACAGCGGGGGCATAAATATTGTTGATGTATATCTTATCCAATATCTGGAATACTTTTAATCTATGTGAAACTACCTTTAGTGTGGTAGTTATATCATTTTCCTACCTAAAACGAAAAAGCATTAATTTTAGAGAAGATGAACTTACAAATTTTGAACTGAAAAGGATACATTTCTTTTGGTTCTTGTATCCATTATAATGTTAACATTTTTATTAAAGCCCCAGATACTAGTTAAAATTAGTCTGTGTTTGTTTCTCTGCTTTTATTAAAGATATCAAACCTATAAAATCATTTACCTGCTACACTATGTATATCAAGAGCATATTCATCCATATCCACTACACCAGCATCAAAGGATGTCTACAACAAATAAGGCAACATATGTTAAGCTATGCATGAATCATTTCATCAAATTCATGTCCCAGTCATTGCTGATAAAAACATTTGATATATATTTCATAAAATTATGGCATGAATTGTATCTGTGAGAGTACTTACGAGACTGGAGGGAGGCATGCATGGACACACAGATGGATGGAATGATGCCTGGTATTTCTTATTAAGTGCAGATTCCTTAAATTTATTTGATTAAACATATAAAAGAAAAAGGTCAATAATTTCAATACCTGTAGATACTTAAGATACTGTGAAAGTTCCTTTCCAGGAGTAACCAGTACAAAGAGAAGACAGACAATTGATCTGACAAACACACAAAAAAAACAGAATTCTTATGGTGTATTAATGAAAGATTTTTAAATCTCTTTTCAAATGTTGTTCTACAAGCTTAATCTTTTATGCATACAAAACTTGCAATATTTTTCAAAAGTATGTTATAAAAACAAAAATACTTCAGATATAGTGTTAACAGAAATTTGAAATGTAATTCTCTTCTTTACGAGAAAGTAATAATAGCACTCACTACCTACCTCAACAAAAGCAGTCCATATGATAAGTCAATTTATATCACTGTACCATGTGAATTCTGATATCAATATTAATTGATGTCTAACCATAAATATAATTTACCTTAATCAATATCAAGCAGTTCAGTTGACTCCCTTACCTTCAACTTTTTCACTCTTGAAGCCATCCCTGCTATTCTAAATAATCCCTGAAACAGAAATTCAATAACTTTCTAGGCTCCAATTTATTTCATCTTTTTTATTACCATATTAATGTGGAATGAGATTGAAAATCTAAAACTAATTTTACCCGACTTAGCTGTATATTCATATTATATTAGAGTAATTTTTTAACATCTAATATTAAATCTAATTTTAAATGTTTAAGATTAAAAAGGGACATCTTTGTCTAAATAATGTTTATTTATTTTCCTTTACAAAAGATATTACAGTTCTTCAGTTTACAAAACCAAAATAATGCAGTCTTTCAAATCAGACAGACAACGCAAATAATAAAAATAAAGTGCTGTGCCGAGCTCAGCTGGATACGACCACAGAGTTCCAACCATGAACAGTTGGGGCAAAAATGGACACAATATTCAAGCTTGATACAGGTCTGAATTTGGATTGTAATTAAATATTTGACACATTATAAGTTTCTGACACAGATTAAATGTAGTCAAAGAACTTGAAATTGGTTATATGATTTGAATTTGTATTCAATTGAAGATTTCTTGCTGTTGTGCAATACACTGTGCTGTTGTGCAATACTTAGTAAATCTGTTTTCAGACTATATACAAAGAATTAGCAAAATAAATTGTGACCCCCAATTTTTTTGTTTGGAAAATTGATAGTTTCTTAAATCTTGAGGAAAAAAAAATTGACCCCCCCCAAAAAAAATTTTTTTTTTACCCCCTTCCCTCCAAAAAAAATAATATTTGAAGAAATTTTCTTTTTGTAAAATGTGGTACAATTTAAGAGATATCAATACACTTAAACACAAGTTATTGTCTGAAAACTAAAAAATTGCTTGTTTTGGACCCTTTTTGCTGAACGGTTTGGGCAATTACCCCCACAATGAATCCCAACCTTTTACTTGTGGTATTGAACCTTGTGGTACAATTTCAGAGCAATCAAAATACTTATACACAAGTTATTGTCCTGAAACTAGAAAAATGCTTGTTCTGGGCCCCTTTTTAGCCCCTATTTCCTAAACGGTTGGGACCATCACCCCCAAAAACAATCCCAACCTTCCTTTTGGTTAAATTTCATAGAGATCCATTCACTTAAACTAAAGTTATTGTCTGGAAACCAAATGTCTTTGTGGGTCAGTGAGGTCAGTTCCTCCCACTGGATGTTAGATGTACCCAATCTGTGTGTAAGGCCATATGCATGGTCTTTGTATAATCAGTTTCTTGGTTCATAGCAGTCTGACTAGTTGATAGAGTTTTACAGTGCCTATTATTCAATTTACCACTCACCATCCCCTTCCTAACACCTTCAATATTGTTTCATGACAAGGGAAACATCTCAGCTTTTACTAGTGATATATATTTTTTCTTTCTTTATTTTTATTTTTCCTTGATGGAATTTTATCACTGGTCTTTTTACAATTTTATTCATCCCCCAAGCATTTCGGGAACAAATTTTATCAAATTTATTCCAGTGCCAGTTTGATAGACCACTGCTACTCTACTAGCACAAGAGCTATCCCCCATGCAGACCTTGCACACCCCGGCTGCAGATGAGACGCCTAACTGAAGGTTGCAAGCTGACTTGCTCAGGCAGGAACTCAAAATTCTATTTGTATGCTGAGTATTTCTCAAGGGCCAAAAATTAAATTGATTTTAGTGTTATTAATAATAAAATTATTATTCATTCTACATATCTTTCTGCTTTAAGCTAGTATGATTTGCTGAGACTATGTTTTGGTTTACACACAGAAACCCCTTATATTTGCCTTGGTTTAGTTTGTATGGAGCGGGTAATTTGTCTATTATGCTCAATTAATGTGGGTTGCTGTCTTGACTTTAATTGAGATTTGCTCTATCAAGATCACTCAATAGTTACAAAATAATTACACAACCTCCTACTAAAACTATAGAAATAATGTTCACACTATGAGATTTCAGGAAATATATAATAAGAGACTACAAGGAAATACAATATGAGACAACAGAATACAAACACCATTGAAGTCTGTATAAACAATGCATTTAGTCCCTCAAAATAAAAATTGAATTGCAAAGCTCTTAATGAATATTATAAAAATAATCTTATGTCAATTTTGGTATATGTGATTAACATTTAATACAAATACAATGTATTTTAAATTATAACAATAAAAAACATAAAATCTGGCAAACAAATAAATACATGTACTGCCATTAATTGTTGTCTAATATAAAACAATAAGAGGTATAAGCTAACCTCTTCCTCCATTCCACCACCTTCAATGATTGTAACGATGCAGGCCTCTATCACAAGTGCTACATCTCGTCCTGTCACACGTAAGTGCTCCTCTAATGGAAGACCATATACAGGTTTATGCGGATTACATTCTATTGAAGAAAAGAAAACCATATTAATATAGTTACAATATTCAACAAGATAGCTGTGTCACAGCAAAATGTCCCATGTCACTGTGAAGAATAACATTGTGTGTACAGTAAACAGTTGTACAACAGGTAAATATATTACATTATAAAAGTGTATTTTCATTTTTTGTACATGTTGCTGTAATTCTTGTAATTTCAAGGTAAATAAAATAAAGTGCTTTGCTGAGCGCAGCTGGATACACCCGCAGAGGTCCAACCCTGAACAGTTGGGGAAAAAATGGACACAATATTCAAGCTTGATACAGGTCTGAATTTGGATTGTATTAAATATTTGAAATATTATGGGTTTCTGAATAAATGTAGTCAAAGAACTTGAAATTGGTTATATGAATTGAATTTATATTCAAATAAAGATTTCTTGCTGTTGTGCAATACACTGTGCTGTTGCGCAATACTTAGTAAATCTGTTGTCAGACTATAAACAATTAAAGTTCAATTAATTCTCAATGTCATATTAGAAATTTATGAAAATGTAAAGGGAGCTTACATCAATAGATATAAACAATTCACCAAAGTTTCATGAGAATTGCTGACAGCACTTTGAGTTATTGTCCGAAAACTGGAAAATCCCCCCTTTTTTAATGAATAAAACCCCATAACTCAGAAATGTAAAATGTAAAATTTATAAAATTCTAAACGGAGCTTACATCAATAGATGTAAACAATTCACCAAAGTTTCATAAGAACTGCTGAAAGTATTTTTGATTTTTTGTCCGAAAACTGGAAAATTCTCCTTTTTTTATGAATAAAACCCTGTAACTCGGAAACATAAAATCTAAAATATATGAAAATCGAAAGGGAGCTCATGTCAATAGATATAAACAATTCACCACAATTTCTTGCAAGTTGGTGAAAGCATTCTTGAGTTATTGTCCAAAAACTGGAAAATCCCCCTTTTTTTAATGAATAAAACCCCATAACTTGGAAACGTAAAATCTAAAATTTATAAAAAACGAAAGGGAGCTCATGTCAATAGATATAAACAATTCACCAAAGTTTTATGCAAATTGGTTAAAGTGTTTTTGAGTTAATGTCCGACATGTTGACGACGGACAGACAGACGGACGGACGGACAGAGGTATACCATAATACGTCCCGTAAACGGGCGTATAAAAACTAAAATGGGCTTAATCAAAATGAAAGTACAAAATGGTCATTTACACATGATGGCAAACAACCCTAACAAGTATGAGAGCTTTCAGTCAAACAGTCTGAGGAGTTGTGTTCAAAGGTGTCATTGTGGTACAATGATAGTCCAACAGTCAGTCACATATCCTAAGTTAAAGTTGTCAAATCAAAATAATGGTAAAGTTTGGTCAACAATAAGTGATGACCAACTAATCAATTTATATTGTTTATAAATTATTCTTTAATTTTCAATTGATGTGGTCCACTTGGGTCTTTTAATTCATTCTGTTGTCATCTCCATTATAATATGGGCAACAAATGCTTTATTCTGCTTGGTCAATTATCAAAGGTGTAAGCAAAGCTAAAATTGTTCCTAATAGAATGATTTTTTCTTTCTGTTATACATACAAATTGATTGACATAACTATTAGTTACTACTTAACTCACACAATAAAAAAAAACATTCAATTTGAATCTTTATTAATGTTTTGGCATTTCAAAATGTTCTTTTCCTTTAAGCTAAACACATATGGGTTAATTCAAGTTTGTTATTCTTCAATTGACTAAGACATATACCATGGTTATCATTGTTTTTAAAACTACCAAAACTGATTTATCATAGATAAAAAGGAATTTTGGGACATCAAAGTTCAACACAATGAGGTTCATCTGTAATTTTAACATACCTAATGTATCTCTCATTTTGGGTATAGTTTTGTCTAGTTCATCTAATGCTTTTTTGTGGTAAGCCTGTTGTATTTCTAAAAACTGGAAGAAAAATAAATTCAAAATCAAAGTAAGAAAAATATATTTTCAAATCACACATAGTAATTTTTAACACCTACAGAACTAATAAAATGGATAGTATAAACACAAAATGACCTTCTTCCTAAGGATTTCACATGTATATTTCAGGTAGGTCTTTGTCCTCTAACCTTGACATTCAATAGGGGACTATATTTACCAAGTAAGGATATTTAGTTTGTAAAAAGTAGTAAAAGTATTGACAAACCAACCTCAGACTGACATACCTTTACTAGTCATAAGTTTGACCTTCTTCTCCTTGTAATTATGAGAATTAATTTCCAATAATATTATGAAAAGTGTTTAATGATTTTGGCCCTTATCATGCTATCAAGCATAATTGTTTGGCAGTAAATCTATTCACTATTTAGAATCAAACTAAAGTTGGCTAGGTCTTTCAGATACACCAAGTGTTTTATAATCTAAATCATTCAATAACTTAATACCACACCATTTTAACTGAACATGAAGCATCAAAAAGGTTTTTAACCATCTTCTAACAATATTTAAATGTGTAACAGTTCCCAATGGGTAATAAACAAAAATCAGTCATATATGGCCTGTAAGCCGATATATAATTTCAAGGCTGAATTCTACAAAATTACAAAAAATTTGTAGAGATTGTCATCTCTAAAATAGAGGGCTGACCTGTCTATCTTTAAAAGGAGATGGATCACTCATCAACTAAGCAACTGAAAACTCTTGAGAGAAAACTTGTTTTCTAATTGAAGAAAGCAAACACAAACTGAAAAGGCTATGTTTTACCTACTGTAGACTCACAAATGTTTGCATGCATTTATTATTGCGATTGTTGAAAAATAGACCTACATGTGATTTTAATTACTGCTTTTTCAGAAATGCTGCATACTTATCATGCTATCAAAATTTAAAATGTTTTTATTTTTGCGAAACCTATCCAGTCACAAGATTTGCAATAATAAAAACATTGCAATAATTTATGATTTTACAGTACATGTCTACTTACACATAAAAGTTTTTGACTATGCTCAGGTTCTCTGGCTATGAAATTGTACATTTCTGTTGTCAATTGATCCTGGAAAAGATAAAAAGTAATGTTCAAAATTGTTGTGTTATATGTATTCAGATTATCAACAAGTCTGACTAAAACAACCAATAATAACTAACTTGATTTGATTGACCAAATGTTTTTTACTGACAAAATATGTTGGACTTTAATCTTACATGAATAATCAAACATGGTAGTCCTACAGTTTTACTAAAACAATATATCTGATCATTTCTGCAATTTTAAAGGTTAATGAAACTGCTTCCTGAAAGAAACCTAAATAAAAATAGTATTAATTCAGAAAATGAACAAATATGAAAAACTTCATCAACATTTGTCAAAATGCATTACCCTCGCTTGTTCCATTCTAGCACATGAATCTTCGTAATGTTCCTTCATTGTATCAGCTTTATTGGCTGCTTGCTGCATATTGGTTCCACTGACTTGTGTTTGTTTCACTGCTTGATGCCATCTGTAAAATCATACAGTATTAACAGTAGTTCTCTTAAAATGTAATAGATTTAAAAAAGAATATTTATTAAATTTACCTGTTTTTCCCCTCCCGGTATATATAAATCAAGGGTCCAGAAACGGTCATATTGCCAGTCATGACTTAAACTGAAAATTGTTTGTCCTAAACGGCAGATTGGTATCAAGGTCAAATTTTTATCTTTTACACAAATAATTTCAGTCATTTTATTGAGATCGGGTTTCTTTATTGCAATTTTACACTTGTTTTTGTTTTGTTATCCTTTTCCAGTAGTAAAACTGCCACTCCAGTATAGTATGATAATCCTGAAGGCCCTCCTAATAACCATATTAATGCCTCTGGGAAGTATTGGCTTATGATTGCTAATCACTTTTTACCTGTGTTTTTAATTCACACAGGACAGTGATCACAAGCTCAAACTAATTTTATAAAGAAATTAAATTCCATGACAATTTTCTTCATTTTTCAATTACTTTTCACCAAGGACAATTGTCATTTCTGATTTAAAAATTTGATGAGAATTGTAAATTTTCACAAGTCAAATGTGTGCTTTATTTACTATGTAATACACAGGCGTGAAATTGTCTTCATCAGATCAGACACTTTATCGTAAAATGCAAAATGATTTCATGCTCAATTAAAAGAGTGCAACTTTTATCTGTTATAATCAAACACTTTTTAAGGTAATGAAATTAAAATTTGATTTCCTGTCAATATTTGATAAACAGAAAGAATCCCGGATGTGAATCTGGAATAACTCGTACTTTAGTATTAACGAGAAACTTCCAGTTTTTATTTCGTCTTCAAAATCGAAAAAAAGTGTTGGAGATTCCTGAGAAATTTACTGTTTTGAGTCATTAATGTCATTTCAATTTTAAACTGTTGGGTTCATAAATTGTTCTCGAACGTTTGGGAAAAATGGTAAGAATATTCATAAAGTGAATGCAATGAAACAGTCAATACAAGTTCGTTGATGCCATGAATCTAACTTGTGAATAATTTCGACAGTTTGAAATAAAATGCTCCGCTGGGCACAGCTTGATACGACCGCAGAGGTCGAACCCTGAACAGTTGGGGCAAGTATGGACACAACATTCAAGCTTGATACACACTGAATTTGGATTGTGATTAAATATTTGTCACAGCATAGGTTTCTGACACAGAGTGAATGTGGTCTAAGAACTTATAAGTTTTTAATTTACCTATTCAAACCATATCATTATTATTTGCTTTTATATATAAATCAGAAATAACCAATTTAAAATGGAAAATTTTAAAGAAAAAAAAAAGGAAAAAAAGGGGGAAAAAAAATCCCTCCCCCCAAAATTTTTGAACCCCCTTATGATTCATCACACCTAAACTCAATCCCAGCCTTCCCTTTGTGGTATGGTACCTTGCAATACAATTTTAGAGAGATCCATACACTTGAACACAAGTTATTGTCTGGAAACTAGAAAAATGCTTGTTTTTTTTTACCCTTTTTGGCCCCAAATTCCTAAACGTTTAGGGCAATTCCCCCAAACTCAAACCCAGCATCCCTTTGTGATATGGAACCTTGTAGTACAATTTCATAAAGATCCATACACTTACACACAAGTTATGGTCCTGAAACTAGAAAAATGTGTGTTTTTTTGCCCCTTTTTGGCCCCTAATTCCTTAAATTTTGAGGCAATTACCCCAAAATCAATCCCAGCTTTCCCTTTGTGGTATGGTACCTTGCAGTACAATTTCAGAGAGATCCATACACTTGAATACAAGTTATTGTCTGGAAACTAGAAAAATGCTTATTTTTGGCCCCTTATTCCTAAACGTTTTGGGCAATTACCCCAAAACTCAATTCCAGCTTTCCCTTTGCGATATGGAACCTTTTAGTACAATTTCAGAAAGATCCATAGACTTACACACAAGTTATTGTCATGAAACTAGAAAAATGCTTGTTTTTGCCCCTTTTTTGGCCCCTAATTCCTAAAATTTTGAGGCAATTACCCCCAAAATCAATCCCAGCATTCCCTTTGTGATATGGAACATTGTGGTACAATGTCAGAGAGATCCATACACTAACACACAAGTTATGTCTGGAAGTTACAAAAATGCTTATTTTTGGCCCCTAATTCCTTAACTGTTGGTACCATAATCCCCAAAATCAATCCCAACCTTCCTTTTGTGGTATTGAACCTTATGGTAAAATTTCATAGAGATCCATAGAGTGCGAAAACCAATGTGTCTTCAGACGCCGACAACGACGCCGCCGCCAACGTCATACCAATATACGACCCCAAAATTTTTTTGCAGTCGTATAAAAAGGGTCCTAACTTTTAAGTCATTGCAAAATGACCGAAATTTTGTGAAAAAATTTCCGAAACCTTGATATATATACTCTGATGTTAATGTGATCAAATACAACAGTCCAGAATAATGTCTTGCCATTTTATTTGTATCATTTTTTCTTTGGCACTTCCAATTCGTAAAATGATCATAGTTTTTACAAATATTTCTCTTTATTATCAAGAATTTAAAAAATGTGTATGCTACTTATATCCTGTCTTTGATGAGTAAAGGACAGCAACAGATTTTTTTGTACAAACCAGTTGAACTGCATAATAGACTGGACCTTTGCTCTTTTTGTGTCAATTGGTTGCTGTCTCAATTATGGATATCCCGTATAACTTTTTTTCTTAGTCAGATTAAAGTTTATATAATGCGTATCTCAAGAATAAGCTATCTTTAATACTTTTAAATTTTAATCTTTCATACACCTAAATTTCAATCTTTTATGCTCTTAAATCTGAACTAATCATAAATGCTTTAAAAATTCTATGTAAATTTTTCAATTGCTATACCAGTCATTACAGTATAGGGCAATTCTAAATCAAGTCATTTTGCATCAAATAATCTAACCTGCTTTTTAGTGAATCCATGTCTAATGTTGTTTTGTTTAAATTCTTTTTGAATTTATTAATTGCTGGAATTTCAACCTGTAAAAAAAAAATCAGAATCAGATGACTTATGATGAAAATATATGTATTTAGACACATACAATTAATGTACCGGTATATCAAAACACTTTCAATCGTCTATATCATTTAACCAATATGCTAAATTATTTTCTTATATAATGGGACTTTCTTTTCCTAAATGGACCCCAAGAAAATAATTATGATTTTCTATAATAATAATGAAAGAGGGTGTCAGTAATAACTTACATCTAAAATTTCTTGCATGGGTTGTAATACTGCTTTCTCTACTGATATATCATGGTTTAACAGGTGACTAGCCAAGTTGCTTTGACATTCTCCACACATCTGATATAAATTCCTACAAAAGAAAATTATTACAAATTATTAGAGACATGAATCTATTTCAGAGGTCTACAATATTTCAACTAAATAAATAATAAAACCCATTTCAGAGTACAGGTCTTGTTCTTAAAAAAACTTATAAGTTCATGACCAAAAATATTGTTTTCCCTGGAAGTATTTTGGAAGATGACCGAAAGAATGATTTTGAATTTTGAAGATTGGGGGCTAATATACAATGATAAGGAATTTTAAGGTTTAAAGCATGGGCCTAGTTTTTTGTAATTAAACATGGGGTCCCAACTTTGCATAAACCTTCTGAGGAAAACACTTACAAATTTTAGTGAAGCCAAATACAATATTTTTTTTTATTTAACATCATAACTTGAAGGGTCAGAACAGAATAGACAAACCAACTTTGCATGCATGAATTGCAACCCTTGTTTAATGCAATTTACATTCATCATTATGACCATGCCTTTATTAAATCTCTATCTACTGGATAGGTGGTTTTCTTACGGTCTGACATTCCAATAGCAGCAGTACCACCCAGTGGTAGTAATGTAAAACTTCAAACATGAATCTTGAATTACCTTCCTCGGCTATGCTCACGACAAATGTATGGAATTAAGGTTGGAGGCACAAGCCAGAAAAAGTATAATATATATAAAATAAATTCAGAATTATTACATGAACAAGAGTGCACAGGCTGAAATGTCTCGCCTGCTTTACTAACCAGGATTGACTTAATGTTGAAAGTCTTAAAAATAAAGGTTTTACTACAAGTATCTCATAAACTTAACATCATCATTGATCGTTGACAATTAGGTCAAGGTCAGATAAATCCTGGCAGACAGACATATACACTGTATAATCATTCCATACACCAAATATAGTTGACCTTTTTAGTACATGTATCAAAGAAACAAACCAAACCTTGAAAAGTTAACATTGAGCACTGAACAATGGAAATGAGGTCAAGGTCAGATGATAAATGACAGACAGACATGTACAACTTACAATCATTCCTTCCATCAAATATAGTTAATACCTATTGCTTATAGTACCTAAGAAACAGACTAAACAAGGAAAACTTAACATTGACCAATGAACCATGGAATTAAGGTCAAGGTCAAATGAAACATGCCAGACAAACATACAACTTACAATAATTCCTTCCAACAAATAAAGTTGACCTATTACTTACAGTATCTGAGAAGAGGACCAACCTATAGAAACTTAACATTGACCAATGAACCATGAAAATTAGGTCAAGACAATTGATACCTGCCAGACAGACAAGTTCACATTCCATACACCATATATAGTTGACCTATTGCTGATAGTTTTTCAAAAACAAATCAAAACACAAAAGCATCCTGGTTTTCTACCTTCTGAAATAAAGCTTTATACAAATAGTTTAAGACAACACCGCCGTTGCTGGATAGTAATCCCTATGTCTCGCCTTGCACGTTAATTTCGCAGATTAATTTAGCCAGTGTGAAAACTTACCCCATTAATGTATCATTACCAAGCACAGCAGCACTTTCTATCATACTGATGGCTAAGCTGGTTTCTGGCATCTTTTTCTAATGAATACAAAATGCAATATTTATCTCACCATCTTGACAGTGGACATAACAACAAATCACTATCATCATATAATGTAATAGTATTTTTTTTATTTTATCCTCTGTAAATATAAAAATTCATAGAAAAATTTGAAGCACATGGCATACATGGCATATCTTTATAAAATGTCCTTTGAAGGATAAGTTACAATTACAACATATCTTTCACTTGATCAAAGATTTCAAATATACTTGAAAGGAATTTGTGTTTTCAAGATGTTTTTATTTAAAAAGCACACTCAATGGAAAACATATGCTCCTTATATTCCATATAGGAATAGTTTAAAAAATACTTGACATAATGATCGTGGAAAAATTTCAGTGGATTCCTATTTGATAGTGACATGATAATTCAGACAACATGTACATTTGTACATAAATTTACTTGATTATAGCCTGTAATAAAATATGATAGCTTAATCTAATAAATTGCTTCGCCGAGCGCAGCTGGATACGACGGCAGAGGTCCAACCCTGAACAGTTGGGGCAAAAATGGACGCAATATTTGCGCTTGATACAGGTCTGAATTTGGATTGCAATTAAATATTTGACACATAAAAAGTATCTGACACAGAATAACTGTAGTCAAAGAACTAAGAATTGGTTATATGATTTGAATTTATATTCAATTTTTTGCTTTTGTGCAATACAATTTGCTGTTGCGAATTGACCCCCCTTCCCCCCCCACAAAAAAAATTAAAAAATCTACCCCACCTTTTTTTTTTGCTTTTGTGCAATACACTATGCTGTTGCATATTAACCATAATTATCCATTTAAATTTACCATAGTGCTAACTTAATCTATTTCATAATAGAATTCAAAATATGGTGTCAAATCTTTCATATGGATTTAAAAAAAAAAAAAAAAGATGCAACATTTGCAGATATTTTTACTGGTCTTCCTTTATGAATATGCATTTCTTTAAACATAATTTAAAAGCAGTGTAAGGGAGGTAATCAAAACGTTGTATTTGGACTACCTCCCTTACACTGCTTTTAAATTGTCTTAATTGTTCATTAACCATTACTTTATACATAATTTAAAAGCAGTGTAAGGAAGGTAATTGAAATGATGTATTTGAATTACCTCCCTTACACTGCTTTAAATTATGTTTTGTACTAAAGTATTTGTCCATTAACCAGGACACCCTTGTTTTTCCCCCTTTTTTGCCCCTAATTCCTAAACGGTTTGAGCCATAACCCCCCAAAGCAAATCCTAACCATCCCTTTGTGGTATGGAAACTTGTGGTATAATTTCAGAGAGATCCATACACCGTTCCACAAGTTATTGTCGGGAAACTAGAAAAATGCTTATTTTTGGCCCCTAATTCCTTAACTGTTGGTACCATAACCCCAAAAATCAATTCCAACCTTCCTTTTGTGGTATTGAAATTTATGGTCAAATTTCATAGAGATCCATTCACTTAATCTAAAGGTATTGTGCGAAAACCAATGTGTCTTCGGACGATGACGATGACACCATCGTCATACTAATATACGACCGCAAATTTTTTTGCGGCCGTATAAAAACAAACTGAGCTGAAAATAAACAAATTATTCATTTTGGTGAATTTCCATTGAATTAAAAGTTACTATTTTACAACTTATACTCTGTTCTCTGTTGTTTGTCATGTATATATTATATATCTTTGTTTGCCATAGCATAGGCTTTTTGCAAATAAAGTATTCATTTATATCTGATTATATTAAATAAATTGTGCATGATAAAATTGACCTATCTGCTGCAGACTTTTTTGCATTTATCATGATTATCAATGAATTATATTTTATATAAGTTTTAGATGTATGAAAAAAATAACACAGAGATACATGTATGTGTCACCTAATCACAAACTTTTATAATTATTGATATAGTTGACAACAGTATGTCTATTGTCTGGATTTTTTTACTGCAGGTGAGACAAAAAGTATTTCAAGAAGAAATAGGTTCCCATACATGATGATTGAAAGATTGAAACTTGAAGATTGTATTTATCTGTTCACTGCATTGCACACAATAAAAATATCAAATTTCTTTCACTCATGGTAGAAATATGATTCAGCTTGTTTTAAAAAACAATCTTTTTCAGACATTGTTTTTATTTAATCTCCTTGCTTTTCATGCAGGTAATTTTGATCCTTGTTCATTCAATAGGCAATAAAGATACAATGTCATACCAATCGTTTCTCATAATCTGATGTGGAGGTTTTAACCCATGCTTCAATTTTCTTTGTAGTTCTTGTACTGACATCTTTAACTTGATCAACTCTTTTCTCAACTGACTGCAAATCCTCTGATAGAACCTCTGTTTTTTCTGTCCTAAAATGAAGAAATATTTCTGTATTTAATTTAGGTTAAATCTTACACCTGACAATTCGTAAACAGATAAGTTTTATCAATGAAATAACAACCTTGCTAACCTGACACTGGGGATATTTTAATAACTACAAAAGCTGTCAAAATAAAACCCATCCCAAACTTTTCCATTTTGCAGTCAAAGAAAAAAGAACCAAAGCAAATAATTTAATCATTAAGATTAACAAAGAGTGCACATGCTGAAATGTCTTTCCTTACTTACCATGATTGAATTTATGTTGAAAGTATGTAGTATGAAGATTTTACTACAAGTATCACATAAACTTAACATTATCAATGATCAAGGTAAATGAGGTCAAGGTCAGATGAACACTGCCAGACAGACATGATCACCTTTCAATTATGCTTTCTCACGAAATATAGCTAGCCTATTGCTTATAGTATCTGTGAAACATACTAATTATCAGAATTATGAAAATTGAATATTGACGATAATGACAAATATACCATAAAACTCAGATCAAGGCAAGATGAACCTTGTCAGACAGACATGTACAACAGGCAATCATTCCATGCACCAAATATAGTTTTGATATTTTGCTTAAAAATATCTAAGAAACAGACTTAACCAGGAAACTAAAAATTGACCAAAGCAAAGAACCATGAAAATGAGGTCAAGGACAATGGACATATATGACAGACAGAAACTTTGTAACATAAGACATCTGTATACAAAGTATGAAGCATCCAGGTCTTCTTCCCTCTGAAATATAAAGCTTTATAGAAATAGTTTACCGGATAGCAATCCCTATGGCTCACATACTGTGACTTTTGTTGCAGGCCAGACAATAATTGAATTGCATTCCTCTCTTAAAATTTGCAAAGTTAACTAAAGATCTAGACCAATTATTATATGCTATTTTACAATCCAAGATTGTGAAAGACACCAGATCTACCTTAAGTATATTAAACTACTTGCATATATAATGTCACTGGTATTTTTTTTCATGTGGATGGTTTCTTTTTCAATTTAATTTTAACATACTTCACTCAGACCTTACAAAAAGACAAAATCCATGGTTAAACTGAAGGGCTTTTTTCCTAAAGGTCTCGGGTTTTGATAACATTGTGAAATGCTAACAACTTGTAATAAGAGTTGAATATAACTTTTACGGAAAGCAAATATGTTAATTTGTATCCATAATTACAGCATGATCGACCCAGTCTCTGACTAGTTACATACCACAATTCTATATTTTCTATAATATTATGTTGCTATAATTTTACTCCATACCACTAGGATTTTTTTTTATTTTGTGGAACAGTTTAAATGAGCTTTTTGACATAGATGGAACTGCTGAAAATTCCATTCATGTGCAGGAAACTACAATAAATCAAAATATTTTCCTTGTTTTTTTTAATGTAGGAGGAAAGTACAATGTATATCCCTTTATCCATTATAGTATAATATTTTTTTTTTGATAAGAGCCAGTACCTCTGGACATAAGGCAATATTGACTGAGATACTCAGCAATTAATTTCAATAACACACAATAATAGCAGTAATTTGTGTAGAGATAAGTTATATGACTCAGACAAGATAAATTGACATCTAGTTCTCATCTTGTCAAAAGTTAGCAAGGTCAATAATAAGCTTGTACCATGTTACATCTATCTATTAAGAAATAATTTAAACAGGATATTGCCAAGATACAGAATTACTGACATTATATTTTCTGGATTATACCATTGAGTCATTGTAATACTTATAACATGTAGTCAATTACTTATTTATTTATAAAAAATGCATGTAGTGTAATTTTGAAAATAAGTCATGTGAAATCAAAGTACATGTACATACATGTATGTCATTACATGATATTTCACTTAAAAACAGATACAAGGATCAGCACATTAATGCAAGTGTACAACAACCAAAAAACATATATAATAAAAAAAATATTGGTCTTTTCAAAGGAGGTATTTTTTTTTATCTTATTGTCAAATAAATGTGGATAGTGTCCACATGTGGACACAGATGATGCCCCTTGCATATCATATAGTTATAAAGGGACATAACTGAAGAACAGTAAAAGTGACGCTACCCAAATTTGAACTTGATGTGAGTTTTGTGTTAATAAGCATTGTGTGTAAGTCTCACAACATTTGGTTGAGGCTAACTTAAGTAGAGAACAGAAACTAAAATTTCAGCAATTTTTCTATTTGTAAACACGCATAACTCTAGAACGGTTGTGTACAAGTCTCACAACATTTGGTTGAGGCTAACTTAAGTAGAGAACAGAAACTAAAATTTCAGCAATTCATCTATTTGTAAACACGCATAACTCTAGAACGGTTGTGTACAAGTTTTATAACATTTGGTTGAGACAAACCAAAGTTAGAGAACGGAAACGAAAAATTCAGCAATTTTTATGTTTATAAAGGGACATAACTCAAGAATGGTAAAAGTGTTACCACCAAATTTCGTACTTACTCTGTATTATGTAGTAATAAGCATTGTGTATAAGTTTCATAACATTTGGTTGAGGCAAACTAAAGTTAGAAAACGGAAACAAAAAATTTGTACTTGATCTTAGTTTTGTGGTAATGAATATTGTGTATAAGTTTCATAATGTTTGGTTGGGGCAAACTTAAGTTACAGAATGGAAACTAAAAATTTTGCAATCTTTTGATTTATAAAGGGGCATAACTCAATAATGGTTAAAGTGACACTACCCAAATTCAACTTGATCTGCGTTTTATCAGTGGAAGTCAAAATTAAACATTGCATTGTATAAAGCATTGATTGTAGTTGATTCAACTATAATCATGGACAAAGGAAGATAACTCCAATTTTGGTGAAAATTACTTGATATTTAGAAGAAAATAAAATTTTTGCAATTTTTCCATTTATAAAGGGGAATAACTCTAGAATGGTTAAAGTGACGCCACCAAAATTCAAACTTGATCTGTGTTTTGTGGTAATAAGCATTGTGTATAAGTTTCATAACATTTGGTTGAGGCAAACTTAAGTTAGAGAACGGAAACTAAAAATTTTGCAATTTTTCCATTTATAAAGGGGCATAACTCTAGAACGGTTAAAGTGACGCCACCAAAATTCAAACTTGATCTGTGTTTTGTGGTAATAAGCATTGTGTATAAGTTTCATACATTTGGTTGCGGCAAACTTAAGTTAAAGTAGAAACTAAAAATTTTGCAATTTTTCCATTTATAAAGGGGCATAACTCTAGAACGGTTAAAGTGACGCCACCAAAATTTAAACTTGATCTGTGTTTTGTTATAATAAGCATTGTGTATAAGTTTCATAACATTTGGTTGAGGCAAACTCTAGTTAGAGAACGGAAACCAATTTCGGGACGTACGTACAGACGGACACGGGTAAAACTTAATGCCCCCACCGCTACGGCGGGGGCATAAAAATTTTAAATTTAGATGGTTAGAAATTTAGAAAGTTTAAAAGGCCTTAATATATATTATTTTTGTTTGGTTTGGTCAACAAAAGAAGGACATGAATTTGCAATAAGGTTCGATTGTTTTTTATTAATTATTGTCAATTGTTCTGTTGCCATGTTTTACATCAATTCTGAATGAAATGATCTCATTTAATAAACATCATAGCATATTTTGACCAAGTTTCATGTTTGGTTCAAATACAAAATGTAAGCCCTTTAGATGTCAGACCACCAATTCACCCACTCCAATTTAGAACATATGTAAAAGAAGCCCTTCCCTGGGAAAAATTAGTGCTTTTGATGTCAATGTTTACTTAAACTGACCAACAAATTTGCAGAAATGAAACTTTGGTTAAAGCAAAATATATTTATACCATTTTGAGTCAAAATTTACTTGTCTATGAGTTTGCATTAATAAACTGTTAACACAGAGATATGTCTCGCCTTTTTGATATTTTGACAGTAAAATGCAAATGTTGAAATTAAAATAGCAATACTTTAACATGTAAGTTATGAAAAATAATCAAAGTCAATGAATGAACCATGACTGAAGGTACAGGGCCAAACAATCTCCATGGAAATGAGATGTGCCTATGCTAATACAACTGCATACCAAATATTATTGACCTACCACTAGTGGTTCCCCATGAACCGACCTAATCACAAACTAATTCATGTAAACTAAGCAAAAGTTTCAAAGTCAATAGACAATGACTGAGGGGGTGGGGCCAAATAATCTCCATGGAAATGAGATGTGCCAACACTAATACAACTGCATACCAAATATCATTGACCTACCACTAGTGGTTCCCCATAAACTGACCTAATCACAAACTAATACATGTAAACTACGTAAAAGTTTCAAAGTCAAAGACCATGACTGCGGGGGTAGGGCCAAATAATATCTATGGAAATGAGATGTGCCAATGCTAATACAACTGCATACCAAATATCATTAACCTACCCCTAGTGGTTCCCAATAATCTGACCTAAATCACAAACTAATACATTGTTGATTGCCGCTGGAAACAGCATACCTATATGGGTCAAGGCGAGACAACAATCGATGATTAATGTGCTCCATAGTATACTTTTTTAAGATTTAATGCTTGTTTTTTGCCCTTTTATGGCCCCTAATTACTAAAATTTTGAGGAAATTACCCCCAAAATCAATCCCAGCCTTCCCTTTGTGGTATGGTACCTTGCAGTACAATTTCAGAGAGATCCATACACTTGAACACAAGTTATTGTCTGGAAACTAGAAAAATGCTTATTTTTGGCCCCTTATTCCTAAACTTTTTGGGCAATTACCCCCAAACTCAATGCCAGCTTTCCCTTTGTGATATGGAACCTTGTAGTACAATTTCCTAAAGATCCATTCACTTACACACAAGTTATTGTCATGAAACTAGTAAAATGCTTGTTTTTTGCCCCTTTTTGGCCCCTTATTCCTAAAATTTGGAGGCAATTACCCCCAAAATCAATCCCAGCATTCCCTTTGTGATATGCAACCTTGTGATACAATGTCAG